AGTTTCAGGACCAGCAGTCCTTTTCATCATGACTCTTTCCTTAGTTAACATAGCCTTCCTATATTGGGATTCCTATTTTTCCTATTTACTGTTGTTTAAGTTTAAGACTTTAATTTACTGTTTCTAGTAGGAATTTTCCTGTTTTTCCGTAAGTGATTCTCTTATTAGAATTAGGATGACAGCTCATTGTAGTCACTTTTTGATTTTAAATAAGAATTTTTTTCAGAAACATTACTCTGTTACTCATGGATTCGAGTATTTTACTCATGCTCGTGAATTCGATTCCAAGTGGAGTTGACATGAGAACATCGCCAGAGTCGCAGATTTAGAGATCTGGATTCCTCTTTCGTACTGCTTCTCTTTTCCTTCATGGTTGTGTTTTATTTTTATTTTTTTCATTAGTTTTATTCGATACAAGAACTATTTTTTCAAGTCACTTAACACGCGTGTTTTTTTGGTTATATTTTTGGTCAAGTCTTTTTTGTTTTGGTTTGGGTGTTACTTCTATAAAAAAAAGAGCCAATGCACGCAGCAGTTACTGTTGACTAGAAAATCCTGCTAGATTTTAAGTTCTTTTTTGTTTTTTTGTTTAACCAGTACACAACCTACTTGCACATACTTTGAAAAGATATTCAAAGTGAGAAATAAATACATCAATGTGTTTGTAACTTAACTCACAAGGGAACTCTAATTACAATATCACGAAGCATCGGTGCTTATTCTCAACACAACTGTTCTTGCGAATCAGTATAAATAAAAAATTAATTCTTCTCAAAAGCAAGCAACTCAGAACACCATAGTATCAATAACATGTTGCAGAACAAACCCAGAATACCATAGAACCAAACATCTGTAGGAAACACCTAGTTGCTTGGTGTGCAATGTTTCGTGAACAGGGGATATGACAGAGTTATCAGATATAGATAATTTAACAGAGGATAGTAGTTAGTAGAAAGGATATCCATGTAACATTATTGAAATGCTTTCATAGAACAAGTGATATTTATCCCACCCTTACAATCTGAAGGAGAGATAGTCTCATTAAAATCCCCAACAAGGCACCATGGCTTAGAAATGTTACATTTGAAATTCACCAGATAGCTCCACAATTCTTTCTTTGAGGAATAATCCATAAATAGCACTCAATCAGTATTGTACTATGTAAAGACTCATTCTATATGCAATAACCTACCATTGTATTCGTGACATTAAAGCTGGGAGAATTCCATATAGAAAGCAGGCCCCAGAAAGACCAACTGAGGGAACAACATACCAAGATCTAGAATATCTTAGTGGAGCATTACTGTTGCTCCAACCTTCCTTTCCAATCCTCCCGCTCTTTATCTATGAAAACCTTCAAGGTGTCCACAATCTGATCATTATCATCATCTAGCTAAAGAATGGCCTTTCCAACTTCCCAGCAAGCTTTAGCTCCCATTCTACTATCAACAGGTGGTTGTTACTTGTTGCTCCGGTTGCCGAGGGGAATTGATCCCCTTCTCCATTACATTAATGTCCATGCCAGAGTATATAACCTTGTGTCTGTTTCTGATTTCATCATCTGAGATAGACATTTCAGTGATTTCCAGGTTAGCAGACTTCTCTTTTCTACTTCTTGATGTTCTCCCTGTTAGGATGCTGGCATGCAAACCCGACAAGATAAAATATAAGAGACCGGATAAAATGAGAAATGGAACACACAAGAATTTACGTGGTTCACCCAATTGGGCTACGTCCACAGACAAGTATAGAAGGATTTTACTAAGTAATATGGGAATTACAACCTCTCTCGAATAATAGGAGAACAACTAAGAATCTCTCTATTATTAGGAGAAAACACCTCACTTACTCTATCACAAATACCTCACAATTTTGTGGGATTACTCTCTCTTCACTCTCTTCTTCTTCTCTCTATTTTGGTGTGCATATAGGCTTGAATGCATTGCCTATTTATAGGCAAGAGTGAGGGTATAATGGTCATAAATTTAGGAGGAATATATGCCTAACAACTCATCCTCCACTCATACTCCACCAATTACAACTCATCTCCCATCAATTATGCCACCTAATTAAATGGCTTTACATTCTCCCACTTGAAGACTTTGATGAGTTAATCAAGTCTTCACACTTGATCTTTTGTGATTCTTCTATCATTTCTATACTTGTCATCTTCATGCTGCTTACGTTTCTGCTAGGCCGTAAGAGGATCTGCACCATATATACTTATCAGTGTTGACCGGTTTCGTCAAAGCATCTGCTGGGTTTTCCTTTGTGTGAATCTTCTGAAAATCCACACTTCCATCTTCCACCACTGTCAGTCCTCAAACACTTGATCTTCTTTTCAGATTCAAGTTCCACCCGCGCTTTGAAAGTTTTAAAGACTATAAGCACATCTGCCTTCCTTCTAATTGGATACACTCAACATCTCCTGGAGAAGTCATCTATGAATGATACAAAGTATCTTGCTCCTCCCAAGGATACAACCGGTGCTTGCCAAACATCAGAGTGAATCAGGTCTAAGATGCATTTGCTCTTAGTTGTAGATGTGCCAAACTTCAACCTGTGTTGTTTACTTGTAACACAGTGCTCACAAAAAGGTAAAGTAACCTTTGTAAGCCCAGGGAGTAACTTCTGATCAGAGAGAACCTTTAAACTTTTTTCTGACATGTGACCTAGTTTTTGATGCCACATCATCGTCTTCTCTTCTGCAGGACTGGCTGATGCGATTGACGCTTCTGCCTCATGATGTGTTTCTCCCATTAATGCAAATACATTTGCAACTGTCTTTCTTGCCTTTAAAACCACCAGCGCTCCTTTGATAATTTTCATGATTCCATTTTCTGTTCGGATCTTACAGCCAAGACTATCAAATTGTCCTATGGACAAAAGATTCTTCTTTAAGTCTTTCACATGTCGCACTTCTGAAATAGTACGAATTAAGCCATCATACATTTTCAATTTGATGGTGCCAATGCCAACAATCTCTAAAGCATGATTATCACCCATGAACACTTTGCCTCCAGAGATAGGTTTATATGTATGGAACCAATCTCGATTAGGAGTCATATGCCATGTTGCTCCTGAATCCATTAGCCAGACCTCAGTGAGCTCTTCTGTATCTGTAGAGATTGTCGCTGCTTCACTATATAAAACATCTCCATCTTCTGAGGTGCTCGCAACACACCCTTGAGATTTTGATGACTCTGCAGAATTCTCTATACCCTTTTTAAACCAACAATCCTTTTTGAAGTGCCCTTTTTTACCACAGTTGTAGCATTTCACAGCCTTCTTACTTCTTGATTTGGACCTCCCCTGCCTTTGACTCCCACTAGAGCCACGCTCCGTTGATCTTCCTCTTGACACCAGCAATGCCTCTGCTTGGTTTGAACTGTTTCTGTCTCCTTTGTTTTTGCGCCTATTTTCTTCTTCCAAGATAGCGGCTGCAACATCATCGAAGACTAGATAATCTGAGAGGATATTATTTGTCAAGTTGATAATGAGCTGATCATACGAATCAGGAAGACTTTGAAGTAGAAGCTCTGCACGTTCATTTTCCTCTATTTGCTGACGCAATGTAGTGAGTTGTGAAAATAGAGTTCTTATTGTGTTGATATGGTCAGTCACCGATGTGGTTTCTGCCATTCGAAGGGTATAAAGTCTCCGCTTTAAGAAAATCTTATTGTGCAAAGACTTGGACTCGTATAGCTTTGTTAGAGTCTCCCATATCTCCTTAGTTGTTTTCTTCTCCGCCACACTTGATAATACTTCATCGGCTAATGCTAAATGTATGTTAGCAATAGCATTGCCATCCATCTCATTCCATTTTGCATCATCAGTGATCTCTGTGGGCCGCTCTCCAATTGCTGCCAAGCAATTGTCTTTCCTTAAAATTGCCTTGATTCTCATTTTCCACAATAAGAAATTACTCCCATTAAACCTCTCAATCTCGTACTTTGCTGCCATTGTATTCACCAAGATCTATTCAGCTATCACCGTTTCACAAATCTGTAACGTATATAGAAATAGTATCGTGTGAATAATACTTCACTAAGTAAGTTCCCAGGAAAGATTGGAGGGGTCACAAACGGTCCCGCTTAAAACCCAATCTCCTTAGACACAACTTTCTAGACTGTATTTAATCACCGCACTGAGTTTCTATATACGCCAACAGCAACGTATGTGAACAGTACCGTATGGATGAATAGTGTCGTATAGGTGAATAGTGCCGTATACGTGAATAGTACTCTTAGACACGAATAACTTTTGTGTATTAACAACACCAACCAGGAGGCTCTGATACCACTACATTGGGTCAGCAAATAGAGGAAAATGAACGTGCAGAGCTTTACACTCCCCTCACGAGTAGCTCATTTTTAGGAAAGTTTC